AAGAGTTGCGTTAGTGCACAGTAATAAAACATGGGTGATTCTAACAATTACAAGGAGAGTATAGGAGTTGCGTTAGTACACAGTAATAAAACATGGATGATTCTAACAATTACAAGGAGAGTAATAGGAGTTGCGTTAGTGCACAGTAATAAAACATGGGTGATTCTAACAATTACAAGGAGAGTATAGAAGGTGCGTTAGTACACAGTAATAAAACATGAATGATTCTATTGAAAAAATATCTCAATTCCTGCACCGATTTCAATATTGATAATTGCACCTAGTGGGTCTGCGGTGAGTTTGCACACTTACAACGATAAAATCCAGGATTCGATTGCCCGTGGTTGAGAGAGCGCAGATGGCCGATTGGGTAGTTTTGCGCTAAAACAAACAAAACACTGTAAAACAGTTGGATTAATACACTGTGTCAAATACGGCTAATTGCATTCACTAAACAAAAGCTGCGTAAGTACAGAGTAATATGTATTATATATGAAAGTTCTATAAACAAAAACTGTATTAGTACACAGTAATTTATATATGAAAGTTCTATAAAACAAAAACTGTATTAGTACACAGTAATTTATATTATATATAAAAGTTCTCTAAAACAAAAACTGTATTAGTACACAGTAATATATATTATATATGAAAGTTCTATAAAACAAAAACTGTATTAGTACACAGTAATATATATTATATATGAAAGTTCTATATAACAAAAACTGTATTAATACACAGTAATATATATTATATATAAAAATTTCATGAAATAGAAGCTGCATTTTTGTGAGGGGAAAATCCTATAAATGAAAAGATACTCTAGAATTGTGGTTTGAACCCAGGACTTGTCTAATAGGGTCCACGCTTTGTCAACTGAGTACTATCCGTTTTCATCTCCCCCCACTGGTTAGATAATTAGTAGGTTGTTTTTCTTCCCATAACATCCAAAATAAGAATTGAATAGGTTTTTGAATGAATATCACAACTAATGAAAATTATTCTTAATCAAATGTTTATGATCGACGCAAATATTTGATTAAACTGGTCTAATTTCGTGAAATATTTAGTTTACGACCCAAAATATCGTTAAAAGCTAGTGTACCTGACTGATCATTCTATGAATTTTAGTATTCAAAGAATTAATTTATTGGTTTATGACATTCAGTATTTGCAGTCCTTTTGTTAGACAGAATGACCTGTTTTAATGTTTTTTTTAGTTTTGATATATTTATAGTTAGCTTACTTTTGACCGAGTTCTAAATAAAAATAAAAGAATACAACGTTATGAAATAGGAGCTGTATTAACACATGACAATACAACGTTATGAAATAGAACTGTATTAACTCATGACAATACAACGTTATAAAATAGGAACTGTATTAATACATGACAATCTAACGTTATAAAATAGAAACTGTATTAACACATAACAGTACAACGTTATAAAATAGAAACTAGACAAGCACATAATAATACAGTGTTATAAAATAGGAACTGGATTAGCACATACCAATCCAACGTTATAAAATAGGAACTGCATTAGCACATAAAAATACAACGTTATAAAATAGGAGCTGTATTAACACATAACAATACAACGTTATACAATAGGAACTGGGTTAACACATGACAATACAACGTTATAAAATAGGAACTGGGTTAACACATGACAATACAATGTTATAAAATAGGAGCTGTATTAGCACATGACAATACAACGCTATGAAATAGGAACTTGATTAGCACATAACAATACACATGAACAAAAATGCTGAAAGTTGCATTAGTCCTCCGTAATAAGCGTGTATAAGAGCACTGATAAAACTACGATTCCGCATTAGGACATAGTAATATACATAGAAAACAGAAATGAAAAGATAGAACTTAATATAGCACTGAGTAAAATATAGCTTAGAACAATTGATTTGTGTTTATTATATCCATGATATCCAATGTACCTAACAGTTATTACACTGAACTGGTAGCAATTAATGTCGTTAATTGTTTTAATTAACTGAGATTAATACTACTGTAGTTCAGACAGTTTTCGGAATATGTTAAGTACTATTCTGCGATGTTTATATATAACTCACAATAACAGCGAGAAAAGCAGTAAAACTTACCGAAACGGTATTTCGATTTAGTGTATGGCCAGTAAAAATTTGAAAACATCACCCCACCGGTGGTTTTAATCACATCTATGGCATGTACGAATAAGTAGGACTTATTTCTCTATCCTTATACGCTCATTTTACGTCCACAATATCCGTGTGTCATTCATTATACAATAAAGCTTAGTAACAGCAATTGGAATATGTGTTTTAAAATAAGCTTGACTGCTATGTAATCTTTTTCAATGTTAAGTATGTAAAACATACAGTATTCTTAGTTCATGCTCACTTACTGTCTATGATATTACATGGTTAATTATGTTACTTACTGGTATGGTTGGCGAATAGCTTATAACCATGCATGACAGTATGTGATTATTTGAAAAGTACATCCTTTAAACATAACAGATGGTTAATACAGAAATATTGTTTGATCAACATTATGTTTGACAAATATTCGCTTTGACCCTGAGTTGGTCACAAATGTAATAATTTCAGCTGTTGAGATGACTATAGAAAAGTTTGAGATTCTCTAATTGACTGAAATATATTAATCGTTGGATATTTGGTTAATAAATATTTTGTTTTGGCACGCGCAGACAGCTTTGAAAAATGTCTGTAGACATAAATCTTGTGTTCTGAAACAGGTATAATGTGTGAATTTAAATATGATATATCTTGTGTTCTTAAACAGGTATAATGTGTGAATTTAAATATGATATATCTTGTGTTCTTAAACAGGTATAACGTGTGAATTTAAATATGATATATCTTGTGTTCTTAAACAGGTATAATGTGTGAATTTAGATATGATATATCTTGTGTTCTTAAACAGGTATAATGTGTGAATTTAAATATGATATATCTTGTGTTCTTAAACAGGTATAATGTGTTTAATTTAAAAATAATATATCTTGTGTTCTTGAACAGGTATAATGTGTTTAATTTAAAAATAATATATCTTGTGTTCTTGAACAGGTATAATGTGTTTAATTTAAAAATAATATATCTTGTGTTCTTAAACAGGTATAATGTGTTAATTTAAACATAATAAATCAGTTTGAATTCTAAGCTCTATATTTTAGTGTTTTTTCCTTTAATAGTACTGGATCTGAGATTTATAGATTGTTGTACGTCTGTTGGGTCTGTATCATTTTCATTTTTTTAACGGTTACGTTTTATATTAATTAAGCCTTTGAAACTGTGTATTTTTGTTTGTTTTTTTTGTATTGGCAGACCTACCAAGAGCTTCGGCCGGCAGTTCCATCATTACAGGGGAACTTTTTTCCTGGCTTGGATGATAGCCTGATGGGCCGAGCAGAAGCTCTTGCCGCCGTGGACATCAGCAAGTGTGGCCCTACCATTAGCACAGGACTACCTTTGAAGCACGACATGATGTACGCCCATCATGCAGGGATGGGTGGTGGCCATGCTGGTTCCACTAGTCGGGTCCATCACTCTCAAATGGGGCATCACGGTATGGACACGATGGATCTGCTGGAGCCACTGTGTCCTAGTTCCCTACCGCCACTGACCCTAACCGCCGAAACTAACGCCGTCAGCTCTCACGCTCACCCACAGCTCCATGGCCCCATCTATTCACACGGCATGAACGGCATGATGAGTGGTCACCCAGCGCTGGCTCAGCATCACGCTATGGCCATGCACGACACCGACACCGACCCACGCGAGCTGGAAGCTTTCGCAGAACGATTCAAGCAACGACGGATTAAACTCGGGGTAACACAGGCGGACGTGGGGAAGGCGCTTGCTAACTTGAAGCTACCAGGTGTTGGCTCCTTATCCCAGAGTACAATTTGTAGGTTTGAATCTCTCACCTTATCTCACAACAACATGGTCGCACTCAAGCCCATTCTGCAAGCTTGGCTGGAAGCAGCAGAGTCTCAGGCACGTAGTAAACGCCGCGACCCAGAATCGCCAGGGGTTTTGCCGAACGGCGAGAAGAAACGAAAACGAACGTCTATTGCCGCTCCTGAAAAGAGATCACTGGAAGCCTACTTTGCTGTGCAGCCTCGACCGTCCGGCGAAAAGATCGCTGCTATCGCTGAAAAGCTGGACCTGAAAAAAAATGTGGTCCGAGTGTGGTTTTGTAACCAGAGACAGAAACAGAAACGAATGAAATACTCGGCTAGTCAACTTTAGGCCAAATATGATAATTCTGACATTTACTATTAAAGTTTTTTGTCGTTTTGTATGCCGTAACATTGTATATACAGCAGTGTCACACTAATAGTGTTCCGGAGGCAGTTTGTGGTTTGAAAACTACAGCAGTGCCTATGAAAACAAACTTAAGTGTTTTGGACAATTTTCACTGTGGCAATTAACAGTCGAGTCACGTGTTTGTAATTTTTTGTGGTAAATATATCTTTCTTCCACTATATATGATTACCAAAGAGAGGGTGGAACTGCCTTCAGGTGATACCACAATCTTTCATTAGGATTGTCAGAACTTCGGTTCATGTAGTACTAATGACGATAAGAGAAATACTTAGTGTTTAACTAGTACCATTCCACTTTACTTTTCTTCAACTGAAAACCCATCCTTTTCCTATCATGCCGGATGTAACAGCCAGCTATTGTTGGGTTGGAATTTAGTACAAATTGTATAATTGTGAGAAAAACATGATGTTTTGATTACTTTTTTTTGTCAATATTTCATTTTGAGGATCATTTGGAAAGTGACTAGATTGACGAACATGAAATCAGCTTACTTTCACTAAAACTATAATAATACTTAGTTTTGTGTATTCAAGAAAGGATTTATTACAAGCACGCCTTTGGCAAATAACTTTAACAACTTCAAGCAACGTATTATGTGATTCGTTTATTATCCCAAGAAAGTTGTTCACAAGGATGTATTTTCTTTAATTTTGTTACGATTTATAAAACGAAAATTTAATATAATTATCTCAACAATAATATGTATTCAATTCACTCTGTTAATTGTTGAAATAATACAGTATGCTACCAAAAATACCTGTTATATAACACCTCTCATTTAGAAATGTTGAATATGCTCTAGAAATTAGATAAGTCAACCAAAGAATAGGACATATAGGATAAGTTACAATAATATATCAGGCGTACTGAAGAGGACTTGTGGGATAAGCTCCAATAATATATCAGGCGGACTGAAGAGGACGTGTGGGATAAGTTACAATGATATATCAGGCGTACTGAAGAGGACGTGTGGGATAAGTTACAATAATATATCAGGCGTATTGAAGAGGTCATGTGGGATAAGCTCCAATAATATATCAGGCGGACTGAAGAGGACGTGTGGGATAAGTTACAATGATATATCAGGCGTACTGAAGAGGTTATGTGGGATAAGTTACAATAATATATCAGGCGTACTGAAGAGGACGTGTGGGATAAGTTACAATAATATATCAGGCGTACTGAAGAAGACGTGTGGGATAAGTTACAATAATATATCAGGTGTGCCGAAGTAAGCCTCGGAGGCATGTTATAATAATAAAACGTAGAAAGTTTAACAGTCGTATTATTTGTACAATTTTAATGTAGTTTGTTCTTAATTTCTGTTTTTAGTTTCGTATTAAATGAAGTTGGTTCCTAATGTAACCAAAAGCTCAGTTAATTTAACTTATTTTCATAGTTTATGAAAAATACACATGTGAATGAAGAATGTTCAGTAGTCCTGTTGTTGTATGTTGAATGATCTGATGTGTGGAACACAGCATGTTACAAAAATACGAAGGGATGTCGGGTTATATTAATAAAGTAATGGGTAAGGATGGGTATATTATTGAAGCAAGATGTATTGAATACAATAGGGTATAATACTAAAGCATAATTTACTGAATAGAGCAGTTGGGCTACGTTACTGAAGTAAATGAACAAAAGAGGTACAGTATACTTGAGGAAGGTGTGATTTGAATAGAACAGGTGTGGATTGTTAAAACAATAATACATAATGAATTGGATATGCTACGTAAACAAAGTTAACAGTAGGCAGCATAGATAAGACTTATTCTATAGCTTATCGGCATCGCTGTGGAGTGAAGGTATAGGACATTGTCAGTGGTTATTTATACCATTCATTTTTTCAGGCATTATAAATATATATATATATATTTAACCTGAAATTCACAATACAAGGCTTAAAATAAGGACTGAACTTTTATGATATGAATGCGATTAACACACGTTTCAAGAAATGATGATGCTTCAACAAAACCTCAGCAAATACAATTTTTTTTTTTCCATTTGTAAGTTTTTAAATATTTTAATAGCAGTATGATGTCCTCTTTATTTAATCACACAGTAAAATATATGTAAAAATACGGGTGTAGTTCCGTACATTAAAACTAATCACCAGAAGTCGCTTCTAATTTAAAACGTATGAGTCAAAGTATAAATCCAAAAAGTAGATTTTCTGAGATCGAAATTTAGATAAGGCGGAAAATTTTCAAAGCATAGAAATATTTTGTATTAAGCATTAATAATTCGTCCTAAATTACAATATAATCAACGTCCAGAAAGTTGACAGAAGTCTCGAAGTTACAGAAAATAATAATATTCATTTGTTTGTTTTTTAATTCAGCTTTCTTGTCCATGCGCTTTCATTTTTACTATTTGTTTTCCACGTTCCAGGGTTTGTTTTAATCTGTTACAGAAGACGAAATACCTTATATCTTATTGAAGTTTTTTATCTGCTAAATTTTCTCTTCTGTAACACATGGATATCAAAACGTCACATTTTTCAATGATCACTATATTTACTCAATGTTTATTCTGTGACCTATAAGCTAAACATCTTTAACCTCTTTAACAGAGTTGTATATTTGTATTGTTTTATAAGGTTTAATTTATCTCCATACTAGTTAAGCCTTTATGATACTAGGATGTTCTATAAGCTAAACATCTTTAACCTCTTTAACAGAGTTGTATATTTGTATTGTTTTATAAGGTTTAATTTATCTCCATACTAGTTAAGCCTTTATGATACTATGATGTTCTATAAGCTAAACATCTTTAACCTCTTTAACAGAGTTGTATATTTGTATTGTTTTATAAGGTTTAATTTATCTCCATACTAGTTAAGCCTTTATGATACTAGGATGTTCTATAAGCTAAACATCTTTAACAGAGTTGTATATTTGTATTGTTTTATAAGGTTTAATTTATCTCCATACTAGTTAAGCCTTTATGATACTAGGATGTTCTGTAAGCTAAACATCTTTAACGTCTTCAAAGAATTACACATTTCTGTATTTGTACTGTTTTATCACCATAACAGATAAGTATTTATGGTACTAATATGCCACGCACGTCTAAAATTTGATGATCCATGAAATAAGCAAACCGATAACTCGGGCACTTTCAAGAGATATATCTTTTGACATCAGGGGCTCATCCCTGATGGTGAAAGGTTAACCTTTTAGAAGCTCTCGGGTTATCGGTTTTCCTATTTTTTGTAAGGTTTAACTTTTATACTCTGCTACTTTTTAAAATGTTTAGGGAATTGTTGTTTAACGTTCATATCTTCACAACTTTTGTTGGTATTTGTGAAAGTTATAACTTTTTAAGATTCTGTTTGTTTGTTGAATTTCGCTACTTGAAGGCTATCTGCACTAGCCGTCCCTAATTTCGAAGTGATAGACTAGAGGGAAGGCAGCTAGTCAAAACCACCTACCGCTAATCCTTGGGCTACTCTCTACCAAAAAAAGTGGGATTGAATGTACATTATAACTGAAATGGCGAGCATGTTCGGTGACGCGAGTCAAACTCGCGACCCGCAGATTGCGATTCGAGTGCCCTAACCACTAGGCAACATTTTATTATAATCTCAGTATAACATTATATAACTTTAAAATGTGATAAAAACTCTTTTTATTTTCTATTTGTTATTTATCATTGTACTCAAAGTTCTTGGTGAAGTCTGACTAATTCTGAATCTGATAAAACGTGATTTGCTATTGAGTTTTAATTTCAACTTTCTACAAACTACTTTTCTTTTCTAACTTACTTTACACAACCCTAGATTTATACACTACCTTTTACACAACCCGAGATTTATACACTACCCTTTACACAACCCGAGATTTATACATTACCCTTTACACAACCCGATATTTATACACTACCCTTTACACAACCCTAGATTTATACACTACCCTTTACACAACCCTAGATTTATACACTACCCTTTACACAACCCGAGATTTATACACTACCCTTTACACAACCCGAGATTTACACACTACCGTTCAATATTTTTATATTTCATCCTTTCATAATTTTTCCTTACCTTCACATTAAAATATTCAATTATCATTTGTTTTGGTTTGCTAATAATATTAACAGGGATATTTAACATGTGTGTGTAAAACTTTTATTAAGGTTTACGAACTGGAAGAAAAACTTCTTTTGCTCAAATCTTTAAAAACTAATAGTATTGTATAAATGCTTGATTTTGTACACAGTGTAAAATAATAAAAAATAAGTCTACGAGCACAGCGAAAGGTGTCTTTTGTCTTAAAGCACGATTTCATGAAAACATGTTATATGCTTGATGAAATACAATTATTAAAAACATAACTTGATTTACTAGATATGTATAAAAAGAAGAAAATAGATACTTTTGATATTGCAATCAAAATATTAGTTTGAAATTCCTTTTTTTTTGTAACCACTGATTTTATCATCCAGTTGAAAATTGTGTTTTTGTAATAAACAAAACTGTATATGAACATTCTCAACACATTTATAAGTAAAACTGTTTTCTAGCTCTAAGAGTAAACTGAATACTGTGTTTTAAAGCATAACTGGATTAAGTCTTAGTACTAAGTTATAGCTAACTGTACAGTTAGATCACACGTCCTTTTCTGTTGAAATAAAACTTATGATGACATCAATATAAAAATATAGAATACTAAAGATTAATGTATAATTAATGTTCTTATAACAATGTAAATCCACAGAGTATTTTGATTTAATGTTATTCCACATCAAGCTCTTTGAGTGAAAATGTATTTATTTTACGTATAACACTTCTGCTGCGGATCCCATATATCAATATCTATAAATGATTTTACGCTGAGTAGTTTCACCTTTAAGCTCTTGTCATCAAACTATCTATTATATGTAACTATAAATAGAGAGACTTCTCCATAATG